TTTTAATAAAATTAATAAAATAAATTCCATTTATGGATATTAAAATTTATTTTGATATTTTCTTGATGATAAATATCACATTTTTTACCATTATTTTAAATTGTATTAATTAATATTTTATAATATAATTTTACAATTAATAATAATCATTTTTGGACTATGATTAGATTTGACAAATGTTTTACCATATAATATTGTAATTAATTTATACCATACATTATACATACACATACATATATATATTTATTTTATCATACCATTAGAATATGAGGACGCAACAGTGTAAGTAAACGTATTCAACCTTCAAGAAGATAACGTTGTGTACCTTATTGTCTTCACGGCGATCTAATATAATTGGGTTTCGACGTATCTATGAGATTGCGCTTATCAAAAGTAATGAAAATCAATACATTTTAAAACTTATGGGATTTTGATGTGAATTAAATGTAATAAATAAATTAAATGAAGAGGAATGTATCGAGAGCAAAACAAAAAAAAATTAAAATTAAAAAAAATCAATAACTTTGAAGCTTTTTTTCTCTAACCGAAGAACAATAATTTCAACGTGATCGTGAATTTTTTCAACTATATCTCGAAAAGATCTTTCCCTCAAGGAAAAAATTGTGATTTTTGACAGAGGGAAATCTTTTCCTTCAACAACATAAAATCGCTGAACAATTAGTTATGCGTTCTAAGATTATACTATTCATTATTATTTTGTGTATTTATTTAACTATTGATTTAATTAAACATTTTTTATTCAATTTTATGGCATACGTGTGTAAAATAAAAACTTTTCGATATTAAAAATGTAGGTGATTTTAAACGAAGTTCGGTTTATATGATCAACCGCTTAATGTGGGCAAATAGGTTTAGTTCCACTTCAAGAGTAAAAAATCACTCTGCTGCATGAGAAGTTACCGGATAGACTAATCTCGTTGGGTGGCCAAAGCTACCAACTTCGATCTTGCAACTTGACGCCGTGTGATTTTCTCTTATTAGGATACAGTCATGAGTTTACCAGAAAAAAGTTCGAAATGTCTTGGAACTTAAGCAAGATATTCTTCTTGTCTTCAACGAACTTGATGGGGCAATGTGTTATCCAGTGATGGTTAATTTTATGGAAAGAATAATCGCCTGTTGGGCTAGTAGAGAGGGTCATATGCCCGATATTGTTTTTCACTGTTTAACCTTAACTTCTCCTGAAGATAATGACATATTTATTATTTTTCTAAAAATAAATAAATTTAATTTATAGCACATTTAAATCCTGCGTTCTTTTTAAAACACCTTATATAATTATGTATATTATTTGTAGTATACTAATACTTACCTGGACATTGTTTTTTCACTCCAAAAGTTAGAATATTAAAAGTTGAACCAACCCAGTGTCGTATTTTCAAATATTTTGTAAGGGGCTTATATTTTTAAATAAATACAAATGAAAATTTATTTACAACTACATGATACAAATTAATGTTCTCTTTATCTGTAACTTCGTAACAAGTAATTTATAGCTTTTGAACTTTTTCTTCTGAGAGGAGTCAAGACCCAAGAACACTCTCGAAAATACGCAACTGAACCTATTTTATTAAGAAATTTGGTTAAATTACTATATGTAACATTTTTAGAAATACGTATGAACTAATCCACGCGATCTTTTTCACTTAACATAATTTTAGAGCCGTCTTTGTCTTCCCCTAAATGATGTTATTTGTTTTGCGCAATTTTGGAGTTCATACAAATATATTGTATTTATGTAAGTGCACGTGCCTGTTAGTCAAGGGCGTATTTGAGGGGGCGAAGGGGACATTCGCCCCCCCATGGCTCGTATTTTTTTTGAATATAAAACATTGATTTAATTAAAAAATGTAATGTATAAATAATTAAGAACATTAATTACTAGTCTATCAATATAATATATTATCATTATAAAAGAAACATGAGCTATAGGTAATGAACTGTAAATTATTTATAAATTTGTATTGAAGAAAAATTAGTTCCTTCCCGCCCATGACCTCAACTCAAATACGCTCTTGATTTATAGTGGTAGAAAAACGGACAAACATAGCAAATAAATAATAATTCACATATGCACACTTATTGTGTACATTTGTAACGCAATATAATATATTGACTTGGAAAATAATTTCACCAGTGATATTTTCCCAACATTTTTCTTCAGGAAATACCCTCAACAGCGAAAAGCTTTTAATATTTTCATTTTTATGATTTATTTTTGTATTAATTAATTTAATTAAATTATTAATATTTATTGATTCGATTTAGATTTGTGAATTATATCATATTGAGTCACATAAATTAATTACAATCAACAAACGTAATTTATATTACATTATAAGCATTATTTAAAATCAATTCTGTTGACTCACATCAAATTTGTTTTTGTTACTATCATTTTTCATTATGTATATACAAATAATATTAAATTCAATGAGCGTTATTTATTTTTATTTTATAGAAAGTATTGATTGAAAACATTTATTTGTGATGATAACAATTTTATTTGATGCAATATGTGAAACATTAAGGTAACGTTAATTGAATAAAATATCATACATGTCTAAAAAAGGGTTGGAAAATATAAAAACAATTTAATCCCTCTAAATAAATTAAATTTGAATAATATTTTAGAGTTTAGTTGAAATTGAAATATTATTGACAGTCAATATTCGCGAAATTGTCCGCAGCAACGGATTAATTGTTTGTTATTATTTTGATATTTCACTCCCGTTTTAGCACTCAACATAAAACGTTACTACACACAATTTTTCATGAAAAATATCATAATGACTTATACTATGAATGGAATTTTTGAAATGGAATTGTAAGTATTAATTTAAAATATTACTATATCATTGTTCGGAAATTGCATTTTGTAAATACAACATAAATTTTCTAACTTTATGTCTAAGACGGAGTCTAGAATCTAGACATTTTTTTCATCATTACTAATTATTAGTTGGAAATTTTAAATTAATTTTTTTAAAAATTTTTAAATTATTACTTACGCTTCGCGGAATCCCAGGGTTTTGCGGAACACAGTTTAAGAAACGCTGGTCTAGGTAATACAAAAATCTATGTTTAACGTTCAGCTTTGAACCAGACTCAAATTGTGTATTGTACTGTATTAATTAACTGAATAGTAATTTTTTTTTTTTAGTACATTCAAATTTTAAATAAACATATTTCAAAAGTTTTTACATAAATTTAACTTATTTTTTTTAGTTTATTCATTCATTGTCCTTTTTTGATAAATTTTAAATTTCCATAAAATAATATATTATTTTATATTATAAGGTAAAGTAGGGTAACTGAAATGCAATTTTGAATAGTTCTAACTAACTGTTAATTTATTCTGAAATAGTTAACTTAAAAATATAATGATTATTGCAATGTACTGAGATGAAAATGTTATATTTTAATATTTAAATATTTTAAATATTAATTTTTTACGATTGAATATTAAAAAAAAAAAAATGTCGCACTGGCCTCTCGACAAGGGAGTAAGTGCAAATTGAACTGTTTAAAAATACTAATACCACTGTTATTTAAACGTGAGGTAAATACCTTAAACTATATAATTATAGCTATAATACTACGTTTTCAAAGCTGTATTTGTTCAAATAGTTTAGGAATGACAGCTATAATTATAATTTCAAATATATTTTTATACATTTTTATCATATCGTAAAAACTATTAAAAGCATCTTCTTACTTACATTTTACTTCGTTCTCCTATAAGAAATTTTAAGATTTAAATTATTTTGATAAAACAACAATAGAAACATTTTCAAATACTTTATTAAAAAATGTATGTTTATAATATCTTATAATTTTTTTGTATATACTTATGTAAAAAAAAAAAAGTTAACAAATTTCACACTTAGAAATAAAAAATAATAAAATATGAAAAACATATAGATATAATTATTTAAATAAAATTATTTTAAGTAACTACATAATAATTTTTGAAATATTTTAATTAGACTTTAAATTACTATTTTAGGTTGTATTGACTAAATGTAATTCCAAATACAAGTTGAGATCATCTCATTTTTTTTTTTAAATTAGTTTAAAATAGAAACTTAACAACATTTTGTACTTGATACTGGCTACTATGGTAAGTAGATATCGTAAGGGGCTACAACTAGTTTGCGCACATTTTAAAATTGTTCAGTTAAAACCTGGAACTCGTTTGCACACAAATTATTGCAGAAGGTACCACTCGTTTGCGCACAACATATTATAGAAGGAACAACTCGATAGCGCACAACATTTTGTAGACATATTATATTGATAACCAATAACCACTTTGAACGTTTCGAAATAAAATAAAAATACAATGGTTTTGTCGAAAATAACGGATCTATCCATAATTGTGTGCGCAAACGAGTGGTTGCACTAGAAATATTCAGTACGCAAACGAGTTGTAAAAATGTGCGCAAACGAGTTGTAATTTAAGTAAATGTGCGCAAACTAGGTGCACCCATTGTAAGGTCCCGAAGTGTCATCACCTTACATGACCTCACTTACATACCAACTTACAGGACGAGACCATCAGATCGAACCACAATAGTATTTAGTATATAAAAAGAACAATAATAAAAATAATAATAATAAGCTCTGGCTTGCATATATAACCAAATAACACGTTACCAGTCCCGTAAGGCCAAAGAAAACTTGGGGCCCGGCTCGGCCGACACTATTTAAATAACATTTATATTCTTAAAAGTAACGTTCTCTCTAAAAAAAAATAATCCGACTAAATAATAGTACTAGACTAGTAATTATTTTATTTTCAGTTTTATATAAGTTATAACACTTATGGAAAACTTAAAATAATCGTATTTCTAATAGGAATACCAAACAATTATAGTTTCATATAAAATTTATTTTTAAACAACAAAAAAATTTTTTTGTAATTAAAAATAATTCAAAATAAATACATCTACTGCGTTCAGAAGAATGCACCTCAGTTATGTTCATACACCGTAATCACAATGATCTGTAGTAATTATTTAATCTAATGGAACACCGTTTTCGTGTTTTCATTTTTAGAAATCCGTGTGAACACGTTCTGGTCAAAACATTGAAGTGGACTCGCAAATGCTATAAATGTAAACAATTGAAGTGGCTATGGTCAAAGGCTATGGGCCGTATCAGTAAGTATGCACGGTTGTTACCGCACTTGTTGCTTAAAGTTTTCATACCAATTAAACTAACCGTTTTTAATTTTTGTTTCTCTTGCAGAATGTATGAAAGTTTGGCACCGTCGGTATCGGCCAATTGAAAGCGAAGTCGACGAACGCGCGGTAGAACCGTGCACGGTCGAATTCACAGCTTCCGTGAACGCAGATGGAGATAGTTCGATCGTCGTGATAGCCCAGGTCGTAGGGAAATTTTTGAAGAACCCCTGACGACGGATCTACCGCAAAACGTGCCGTGGCCGGACAGCCCTGGAACTGAACGGCCAACCGCAGCTGAAGGCCTCGTTGGATTCGGCGCTCACGATCGCTCGCCCGATCGAATCGCCCGAAATGAAAAATGCTGGTGACGCGTGGATTGTTACGCCGGACGTGCGGTCGTTGACCGTTCGCGCGACCATAGCTCCCGAAACGGAAAACGTTGGGCCGGTAGCGGTTGTACCGGTGAAATGGCCAAGGTTGAAAAACGTTGTGTTTTTCGCAAAAGCCATTCCGGACGAAGACGTGATGGTCCGAGTGGACGTTAAAACAGAAAAGGTCGAACAGTCCATCGTCACCGCAAAACCGGTCGTCGGACGGTTTTCGAACCAGTTCCACTACTAACAGACCTATCGCAAAGTAAGGATCACTTGGACGACCGCTGATACTTTAAAACTGTACAAACGACTGTTGCCGGCGGTAACGGTGGACTGTTGGCCACTTCCAATCGTTTTTCAAAGAACGATTCAGCCGACAATTACAGTCACCACCGTTGCCGCAGCCGCAACGAACATTTTAAAAGCGCCACTGGCCATTGAATGGAAACTACTAGCCATACTACCATCGCTCACAATTACAGCACCATTGGTCAAAACCGTAGCACTACTGACCATAACCACCGGATATCCGGCCATAACTGCCCACCACCAGCAATAACTGCGGCATAACCACCGGAAAATCCAAATCGTAGATTATGTAATCGACCTAATTGCAAAAACCGTCACTGTCGCAGACGACAAATTGCGGCTACAAAAGCAGCCAATTCTAACGACTGTTAATACAGCATTATTTTTTTCATTAGAATGAGCAAAAATTATTATAACTCTACATTTTGGTCATATTGAAAATTTATTTTATTTTAGTTTTATTTCTCGTTTGAACTAAAAAATTGTAAAAAAGTGTTTATGTTTTCTAAATGACGCTGTTATTGATCATGAATAGAACCAATTATTAACAAATATATTTATAAACAATTTAGCAAATTAATTGATTTTGAACAACATTTTGAACAACTCTTATTCAACTTGAAACTAAATTAAGTTGACTAATGTATTTACTAACTTGCCTATATTTATCGGTACACATTTGGTGACTCTGTATATTATAAATATTATTTTGATTATAAAACATTTTGAAGAATTATTTTAATTCTCAAGTATGTATTATAGTTTTAGGGTAGAATTTATGAATTTTAACGTATATATAGTGCGTATATACGTATGAACAAAAAATAATTTTAACTGGCCGCAATTTAAACAAAAAATTAAAAATTAAACGCAATCCACATCAACCCAAATAAATTATTCCAAGCATTAGAATTTGAGTCCGGTAAAATAATAAATGCCATAATATTTCAACTGACCTCAAACGTATATTATCTATAAATGTCGAAATTTATAATCACAACCAATTTTCGACTTCGTGTTTTTTTAATTACACGTACTAGTGAATCGTATATTGTCCACGATCTAATAATCATCTTTAAATTAGCATATATCCTATTTCTAATTTGTCTTTCAGCGCTATAATACATCTCTTGGATATCACAATAAAAATTAATAAACCACTTATGTAAGTAAATGAAGTAAATTACATATTAATACATGCATACATCTCAGGTATGTATCAATAAGTGTAATTAGGTAGGGCTTAAGAGATTTAGGAAAAAAAGTTACCAAAACATGAAAAATGTCATGTGTCTATTAAGACCAGGTTAGATATTACAAATACAATACAATACAAATTGCGGGGCACCATGCAAAATAATTTAAGTAAAACAATACACGGAAATTACTGTTAACAATAATACTACAAATATAATAGGTTAGGTTTTTTTACCTAACCTAGTTATCTTGTCTAATAACCAGTATTTAAACCAACACAGAACATTTATATTATTTTCTAGAATATTACAAAACTATTATTTCAACTATAGATCAAAAAACACAATATTATTATTGACAATGTTATATTTTCTAAATTATTACATTTTGTGATTTGTTTTTTCTATAGTGCACTTCGCTCTCGTGAAGCCCTGTACAGGTGCACCAGTTGCATTGTACTTGCGTTGGTGTAGTCAATTTGCATCAAAATTGATCCAAAATATACACAATATGTGTTATTTGCACCACAATGATTGAAATGTGATTATAATTTGCCCTAAAATAAGGATATATAATTTGTACTAAATCAAATAATATTAAATAATAAAGAACGAATTACATAAAAGTATTCAAATATTTTATTTTTCCCCGTTTATCCTTTTCGTAAAATCCTTCGAAAAACACCCTATAAATTTGAATCTATACTCCTTTTTTTTCAATTCAATCGTGTTAACTATATTCAGAAATATTCCATCTTTTGGGTTGAAGTTTAGTTTAACCAATAAACTGCTCCATATCTACCTCATTATTATTAAATTGTTGCTAAGAAAATAATTTCATAAACGGTTTTAACGTGCATAAGATACACGCATGTATGTAAATCACATTGTAACAATTGATGACAACAATTTTTTTGGCCGAGTTGTGGTTAATAACGCGTGTCCTAGATGAACTTGTGGTCTGGCGGAAACGTACGGACAAAATTTCACTCACGTGGACGTACGTAACCGCAACGCTATGTGCACCGACTCATGCTATTATCAGGTTTAGTGTTGGTGTTGGGGGTGTAATGCGGCGCAGCCACTAAGCTCTATGGATATTCAAAAACGAAATCTGAAAATGAAAATTGTCCGTTTGTTTTGTGTAATAACCCAAAAATACAAAAATAAAATAAGTATGTGAGCGATGTGGTATAAATGGGTTGTTACCTTCCTCCTTGTTTAAGGGAGGGCTCTCGGGGTTGAGAAGGTTCGAGAGCCGAACAGCGCAATTGTACAGTCTGCCAAGCTAGATAAAACAGCACTTACTTGTTCGCCGTAGAACTTCTGATGCCGACGTGAGGTTGAAAAAGAAAGCACAAATGCAGAATTTAATAGCACTTATACTAGATATTCTTCAACACTCGTACGAAGAACGCAAGTCGAACAGATTAAAAATAATTCAATATTTTTTTTGTTTAAGTTAAACTTAAATGAGTTAAAAGAAATCGCATGTATAAATACATAAATCGCTCGTCGTTGATCTTATGATCGGTGCGCATGCACTGACGACCTAAGATCAAAAGCCCTGTGTGGAGAGTGTGTGTGTGTGTCCCTGTTATATATGCACATGCGGCGGCATGGACCTTGGTCCTGTCCTTTTAATGTAGGGATGTCAATAATACTATTGTTCGACCCGTGTTGTTCGTGCGGGTATCGAAGATACCGTTATTTATTTGAAAGAGTTTAAAAATAACGTACATATAGATTGTATACATAATAAAATATTTGTGCCGTCTTTAACAGTCGAATAATGCACATCATTACATCCACCTTACACTTTTTTTTGTTGTGTCCTCACAACAACGTTCGCTGGTCATTGTGAGAGTAATATAAATATTTTTAAACATTTTAGAGTATAGATAAAACGTAAAAAGTGAAATTTTAAGTACAATAATGATTTCTCTGGTGAGGTTTTTACTTTTTTGTATTTTTACAATAATCAAGGGACAGTAACAATAGTTTTATGCAAAAATAAGAGTTACAATGAAGTTATGGAGGGTAAAACTGAAAGTCTATACTTATATTATTTATGTAATTTTATGTAATTTTAGTATATATTATTTATGTATTTCCTATCTGGTGGATTATAAGTGCTCACATATTGTTTTCTTATTACTTATCATTGAACATTATCATGTGATAATAATGTTATGATTTACAATTTTTTGTTTTGTGTTGTTGTTTGTCTTCCTGTTGATCCATCCTCATGAATGCTTGTTGCATATTTTGTTGTGTTGTTGTATTAATAACATTAAAAAAAGGGGAAAGAAAAAAAAATATAATATAATATATGATATTTAAGAAACATATATATGTATATATAAATTAATGACTTTTTTTTTTTGGTATTACATATAATAATGATTGGTTTCACTTAAATTTAGATTAAAATCAATTTTTAATTTTTTTTTACAAGATTAAATTTTTTTATATTACACTTATGATTAATTTCATCTTAGATTTAGATTTAAAACATTTTTTTTTTTTTTTAATAATACTTGTATAATTTTTTTTATGACATTTTTACATCACAATAATTATAAACTTATGTTATATTTAAATTAAAAACATTTTTTTTTTGAACGATACATTTTTTTTTTTTTTGTTTTTGATCTTATATTATAAAAATCAACTTAAATTATACTTAAACTATGAACAATGTTTTTATAATAGTGGTAAACTAAGATTATATTTAAGTCATAGACAATTTTTTGTGAAATTAGTCGTAACACTAACAATAGTTAATTTAATTTATGAAGAATTTTTTGTTATTTTATAATACTAATTAACTTATGTAGTTTATACTTAAATTCTGAGCTATCATCGAAATTTTTGCATTATGATAATAGTGAAGAATTTTTTATAATATTATATAAATAAGCTAAAATTATACTTAAATTATGGATACATTTTATTTATTTATTATTTTTTTTTATTTTTTTTTTTTACAACAATAATAGTTAACTTAACTTATGAGTAGTTTTTTTTATATTGTAATAATTATAAGCTAAAATTATATTTAAATTATAGATAATTTTTGTGAAATTTTTGTAACAGTACTAATAATTAATTTAATTTATAAAGAATTTTTTGTGTTATATTATAATACTAATTAACTTAATTTATACCTAGATTGTGAGCAATTTTTGAAATTTTTGTATTATGATAATAATGAAGAATTTTTTTTTTTTATAATATGATATAGATAAACTAAAGTTATACTTAAATCATAAACATTTTTTTTTTATATTATTATTCGACGTGAGGCTTATCGTTTTTGTAAAAGTTATGTTAGCTGTTTGAGGGTTCGTTTATAAGGTTTGTGTTCTCTGTAGTTTCTTCAGGCTTTCCGTAATGTTTGGTTTTGTTTTTGGGTCCGTGATGTCGATATTTGTTACCATCGTGTAATTTGATTGTTTTTTTGTTAGCTTTGTGTAATATGTAATGTGTGACGCTTGTGAATATTCCAGCTATTAGTTTTGTACACCATCCAAATGTTTGATAAAGGAGTGTGAAGTTAAGACCAGTGTTTAAGATATTTATTATTATTTTCCAAATTATGAATACTCCCAATAGACCTGATGTAATGTTGCCTATTGTGGTGAACCATCCCCATAGTTTATTCAATTCTTTGTGTACTAAATTACTGAGAGTATTTTCGTCTATTAGGTTCTCTATTTTGATGCCTTGGTCGAAAGTTTCGTTACCTAGGGTTTTTTCTGGCTAAACTTTTTTGTACCGTCTCGATTTCAGATGGAAATAAGAAGTGTTGCTGGAGGGCGTTTATTGTTTCAGGTGTATAGATTCCTGCATTCATTAAATGGATTGGGTCCTTATATGACCAAGTCCAGGAGGTTAATGGTTTAAGTTTTTGCGGTGTTTTTATTGTGATTGGGTTCGGTGTCATGGCAATCCATTCATTGTCGATTACGAATGCTGATGGGAGGAATTCATTGCACTCGATTTGTGTGCCATACTTTTGGAGTATGCGTGTTTTTGGCGCCATAAATAGTGTTTTGTTGTTATATGCCACGGGGAGTTCATTGAAGCAAGACTTTTGACGAGAAATTTGTACATTTATTGGTTTACATTTTATTAAGTATA